ATTGAATAGAGATTTATTATAGATCTTAAATAACTTAATAAATATCAACCTAAAATCCTTCAGGAAAAATATTGGGTAGGCTCTCATTTTCAATGTAGTCTCATATATCAAAAAATTCTTTGAACCATTATCTAGTCCAATAACATCTGAAATACCAAAACAAAACATCAGAATTGATTTGATTGAAACAATAAGTAACAGTTTAGCAATGTTTCGAAAGAGTCAAGATATACATAACCTCTCAAAATCTTTTCATTAATATCCCTTTTGAGAATTATAAAAAAGAAAAGGTAGTCAAATGTATTGTATGGAATGTCATTTCCTTCCTACATTACTATAAAGTTCATTTTGGGTGCTCATCAAAACTTATAGAGGTGATGAGATTTGGACCATTTAGATTGCTTCAGATTCAATAAATTATTTTATATTATTAAAATAAAAAATTTATTTAAATTATAAAAAATTTTAATAAATCTTTTTATCATCAATTAGGTCTATATTTAATTTAGAATGTTCAATCTAATATTTAATTTTTATAATTTTTATATATTAACTACCCAAATGTACTCTGTACAATCCAATTTAACATTAAAATTTTTATAATTTTATATTTTGACTACTTAGATGTACTCTATTTACTCCAAATTTTTAAAAATTATAAAATATTTTTTAAAAATATTTTTAAAAAATTAGAAGTTAAAAATTTTAAATTTAAAAAGTACATTTGGGTAGTAAATGTATAAAAATTTTAATATTATATTGAACCCTTCAAATTAAATTTAGACCCCATTGATCCTAAAATAATTATTACAATTTTTTATAATTTTTATAAATTTTTATTTTAATAAATATAAAATAGTATATTAAATCAAGAACATCCAAATCTCACCACCCTAATGATCAGCACCCAAGATGCATCCCATTGCGATTTCTGTACCAAAACGAAATTGTATAACAAATAGATGTTTGCACGGCTTGAATGATGAGTCATTGTCAAGCAAAAGAAAATTCTTGAAAAAAATAACGTCTACCATCTTGTGCAATCATTTTGAATTTTGGAAACAACCTAGGGTCAGAAATCACTGCCTGAATTTTGATCAGGTAGAATTTAACAAAAAAGAAAAGGAAGTGTTTAAAAAAATGTTTAAATTTAGGATAAATAGGCAAAAAAATTCAAGAGATCATTGACCAAGAATATCTAATATCCTAAAGCGAAAAAAAATATATAAGTATTCATGAAGTTATTCTTTTAGTGCATTTATGATTAAATCATTAAAAATAAATGATGGTGACCGCTATGTTTTGGATATAAAATCCAACAATTTGGTCACATGTATATAGAAAAAATAATTTCATGGGCAATTATATACTTCCTTCGTTCAATAATGTAAGTCAGTTTTTGAGAAATTAGATATTCAAAAATGTAAGGCATTTTTAGTTTTTCAATGTGTAATTATTACCTTTTTTTCAAAAATATCCCTACTAATAATGATTTTATATTTATTATAGGGTATTTAATAGAGGTAAATATAAAAAGATAAAATTATTTTAAAAATAGATAACTATTTTATTGAGAAGTGAAATTTAATTAAAAATGCCTTACATTTTTTAATGGAAGAAATATTTTTTTTCACTTTAAAGTTAACTCCTAATCAACGAATATTTTTACCTTTGTGCCCTTAAATTTAACTCCTTTGGTATATTACTGTAAATCATTTAACCAAGTTGGAAATCTTGATAGGCATTATTTACCTCATGCTAAATCATACCTCTATACATTAGAATGAAGTTGAGACAGGCCATTTGAGTGGGGTCTATTTGCACATGTATTTGTACATTTGAATTACCGCGACAGCTATCTAGACATTCTTAGCTTGCAAAGTCACTAAAGTGAGAAAAGTGGTGTTTCTATCTACAAAAGTAGGACAAAGGAGCAAAAATGTTTAAAAAATTATTGGTAAGGAGTATCTAATAATATAAAGTGGGAAAAAGTATATAAGTATTCGTAAAGTTATTTTTTTTGTATATCTGTGACCAAATTATTAAATTTAACTTTTGTATTTTTAACTTTTATTCATAAAACTTTATCAATGAGAAATTAGAAAAATATAACTGAATGAAAACCAAGGCTACGAAAGTTCAAGAATACAATGCTCTTGCTACCAGTGACAAGATGGAATGGGACGACGCTAGGGTTGTTTTCGTTCTGCTCGGTCAGCTCCTTACGCTTGTAGAGTTGCATTCACTGATGGAAACGAAATGTCTTTTCACACGGAATCTCATTACTCGGTGTAATATAAAAACGAATTTTACATTTTTAACTAGATTTATATCTCGCGCTATGCACGGCAATGTTTTAATTTTAAAAAATAAAAATAAATAAAAATATTAAAAATTTATTTTTATATTTTTAAAATAAAATGTATTACTTTTTTCTTTATTTTAAGAATCACAAAATACATAACATATCTTTTATTTTAAAATTTTTATTTATATTCATTTAATCATTAATTGACAGTTGTTGGAGTAAAATATAATTCTTGATATATCAATATATACAGTAAAATATTATTACATGACTTTTTAAAAATATAAAAATCTTATTATATTTTATATCTAGTCTAAATTTTTAAAATTTATAAATGTAAATCCCACACTCACAATTTTAATGACAGGTCCCACACCCATTTTTTTATTATGGGTCTCGCACTATAATATATATATATATATATATATATATATGTATGCATATTTTAACAAAATTATTCACTAACTAATTTTTTAAAAAAATAAAAAAAGAGAAGAGAAAAGTACTGTAAATCTACAGTGCTTTGAACACGATTTACAATATATATTGATGATTTTAACGCTGGAGCAATTTTAATATAATAATAGATTTTCTATAAATTGCTAAATATTATTTTTCCTTGAAATTCAAAATCAATTACTTTAAAGGATTTCTCATACTACTAAGCAAAGAGCTAATTGAATTTAATATTTCCAAACAAATTTTTGAATGAAAAATATATTGAGATATTTAAAATTTCTCCTTCCAAGTTATTTCGTACATTTTTTAAATTTATTTCATAAAATTTATTTTCCTATTGAATGAGATATATTTTATAAATTTTTATATATAAACAATGCCTACCCCACTTACAAAGTTGCCTCGCCGGAACTCACTTGGCCTTTTTGTAATTTATTATTAATTATAATTTCTCATTTTTGTTTATTGTTCTTGTTCTTTTGTATAGTTTTTGTAATAAATATTATAATCCTCTTTTGTAATTATTAGTCATTGACTTAAAATTATATTACAGTCTAAAATAAAACTCTTCTTGTATAATTTTGTTTCAGTATAGAAATTATATTTTGATAATCAATCAAGTGAGAAAATAATTATACATACATATATATATATATATTTATGTGTGTGTGTGTGTGTCATTTTCTAAAAAATCTTAACATGAAATGATGTCTTAAGTTAAGCCCAATTATCATCTAATAAATTTAATTACTTTTAAGTACGCACCATTCGCTATTCAATTAGCTCTTCAAATTAAAATTGAAATGTTACAAAAAGCTTTTGATAAAAAAAAAAAAAAGGATTTACAGTACTTACATTGTGACATATCAGAGGCCAAGGGGCCATGAAGGAAAGGGAGAGTGCAGCACACATTAAGAGGGCGTGCATTGGTCATTTAGAAAAAGAAAATTATGGAGTTTCTTTAGCACACTATGTTCATACAATACAAGAAGCACAACTCTAAATTTTGACCAATAAGGAATAATAAATTTTCAACTTTTCAGAATCACAAATATAAATTTTCCCAATTTGAAAATTTTGTGACAAATTAAACTTGATTGTGAAATATGGTAACAAAAATGACGTCATTTATAACCTACCACACCCTTTTTCCATTTTTCAAAACAAATGTAAACATCCCCTAAAAAGCATATTTTACTTTTAGTTTGATTTCAAATTTTTTTATCGAACTTACCTCAGTTAATTTTTTTTTTTTGGTGAAATTCTCAGCAATTTAAATTCATATCCTTTTAAACAATAAAAAATTAAATTAAATAAGATAATATAAGATGAGCGGTTTTTATTTGACAATAATTAAATCATGTGTTTTTTTAAATAAGAAATCATGTTAGTAACTAACAATAAAAATGATAAATCAAATTTCAAATTGTTTCCGTTGGCCAGTCCAAAATAAAAATTGTATCTGGTGGTCATAAATTAAATTTCGATTTTGGACCGTTGCTTCATCATTCATATTTATAACTATCGCTGTTCTCCAGACAACACGAGACCTGTCGGATTACTTTTGCTCTCGTTCTTCACGATTCCGTGTCTAAATTTCTTCAAGTTAGTCTACCAGTATTCTTCCTTCCTAGAATTCTTCTCATCATCTCCTTCCTTTTTCTCGGAAACTTCAAAATGTTCTGGTTGTTCCAATCCAGTTTTCGTTTTCTTGCTTTAATTTATTGAAGAAGATGCTTATCTGGTAATATGTATGTTTGCCTGTTTGGGTTTATTTCTCCAGTTCTGAAACCATCTATGAACAGAGGAGAAAAAGAACAACGCGCTTCAGGAATAGAAGGAACAGGTTGAAGTGACATTTTCCTTCCTTGAATTCTTCTCACAATCTCCTTCTTTTTCTCGGAAACACAGAAATTTTATGTGGGTTTTAATAGTTGAATTCGTTTTCTTTTCTAGAAAAAAAAAAAAAAACCCATTTGTTAAACAGAAAGCCAAACAGCCAAAATGCATCCTGAAGAGAAAACATCGGACAAATCCAGAGACTCGGCTGGCATGGTCTCTGTAATTCGGATTCCCAGGTGTTGTTTAACTGATTGAAGTAGATAATTATCAAATTATATGAATCTTTAATTAGGTTAAGGGTTGAAGAAGTGATCAAACAGTGTAGAGGAAGAGACATTACACATATTCACCATATTTCTTCAGTTCTGAAACCCACCTATAAAGGAAGAGTTCGAACTATGATCTTCGTTTTTGGTCGTATTCATTGCATTGAGAATAAAATTTCTGAATATTATTATTCTGCTGTTGGTCTTTCAATTGACAAAAACAGATTATTGCAATGGCTTCTCTGATAAAGTCAGTAATTGATGATTATGAAGGTAATTCTGGATCCAAAAAAGTACATTTCTCAAGCAAGATCGCCAGAAGATAGTTGAGTCGGTAATATGAGATTTAAACAATCACATTTCGTGAGAATTCTGATTCTGAAATCGCATTATAATTGAAACTAGGTGCTGGCTTTTTCTCTTGTACTTGCGAATCCAGATTGACCAACCTTCAGGAGGAAGATCTTCATTCATGTAACTTGAAGTAGAAACTGGCGATCTAGAGTCCAAAAAGCATGCATGATCCAGGTAAGATAGCATCCTGAAAAACTCTGATATAACTTGTTTTGGTGAAGTTAATTTTTCCTTGATGCACCGCTTGGTTTCGTTTCCACCACAATAGATTAGCCAAAATAATAATAGCCTTGCATTGATTGCCTAGCTTTGAATTGTCTAGTGAAGTGAACTGTGTTAAGAACCATCCACTGAGATTGGCTGTGTCAGAAGTGGGTAGTTTGAGATATAGCATGCCAAAAGAAACCGCTCTAGAAAAATGACAAGAGGGAGAAAGGTGGACTATGGATTCCTCTTCTTAACATACAAAAGGTAGGAGAGCCATAATTTTTAGTCTTGGGGACGTGATTACAAAACACATATGATAATTATTAAAATATATATATATATATATATATATAAAATTCTTTCAAATAATAAACTATGATAAATTAAATATGTGTGTGTATTAATACAGTAATGATGCACAATTGTTATGTAATCTTTGAAACAATTCATATTAGGAATTTCAAAAGTTTGGTTGTCTCAAAAAGAATTAACTTTTTCTATAATATTAACTCTAACCTCTAAACTTTTGAATAAATGATTATTAAAGTTTAGATAAAGTTAAATTTTATTAGTATCAAATATATTTGCAGAACCAAAAATATATAACTCCTATATTCTATTAAAAAAAAATTAAAAAATTGGGGAGTCCATAGCTCTCCCTGATATTTATATAAGCTTCCACATAAATAGAAGGTTTTTATATGGTAGCTTAATTTTCCAAAGGAAAGGCCAGAACTCATGCTTAAACAGTTGAGGAGGGAGCTGAGATGAGTTTAAAATTCTAATAAAATCATCCTTAGCTGTTTAGCGACTTGAAGAATTACCATCCCACATAATTTATCCTTGGTGAAAACATAAGGGATTGGTGTACTTAAAATGATGGATGCAGAAGTTTTTGGATTAATGTAAGCTTTTGAGAAGGGAAGAGTTCTAAGAAGTTGGTTGCCAAGCATTATTAGATTGAACAATGAGATCTGAAACTTTTGAAACTTGCAGATCTTCTGGGGAAAGTTAGGAGGCCGCCAAAGGTGATAAGAAATAGAAAGGGAGGGTCCTAATCCCACCCTCCGCTTTAGATTGGGGTTGATAAATTGACTAACTATGTTAAATTGACTTATGGAGAATCAATAATTCTCCAAAAAGTGATAAATTGACTTGATATGCGGGTCTTAAGCCGAGACTACCTTCCTTAACTGGAGCAAAAAGTATTGACATATGTCGAAGATGAATTTTCCTTTTATTATTGTCAAAAACCTCCAAAAAAATCAATGCATTTAGAGTCTATAGTGGAGCAAGATAGTCAATTGCAAAGGAGACAAAGAAGAGAGTATTTACACATTGTCTAGCTTGATGCAATTATTTTTCGCTTGTAATTTAATATTAACATTAATTATGGTTATAAAAACAACGGTTATAATAATAAATTTTCAATTAGAAGTATTTAATCATGAGGAATTCTTATGTCAACGTAAATTATATTACGTTGAGCTTTAATTTCAATTAGAACAAATGATGAAAAACATATTATGGGACAAATGCATAATTGAAAACATAATTTGAATAGTTTCAAATAGCTTATGGATGTGTTTGGGGCAAAAGTGAATTGGGATTCATCAGCCAAAGCGATGTCTCCATATCGCCCATAAAGAAGATTAAAATGAAACATTGCCGTGCTAGGGAATTCAGCCAATGAGGAAAAATTCTAGTTCAAACAACATCAATATGAAACCATTAGTCAAACGTTTTTAAGGTGTAAACTTCAATGATTAATGCTTTTGGTAACATCCAAGTTTTAAATTTTTTACAGTTAATTAAGAAATTTACCTTAAAATTCTAATATAGTCAAACAACACAGGTATTCAAACAAGTGAGAATAATCCTACTTCATGTTCTCTTTCATTTTCCAAGAAACATCACTAGTGTCATCCCCTTCCATATCTCTTTCACAAACTCTAGCTGAGTTCTGGGAATCAAATTCTCTTGAACCTCAATTCCTTCGGGCTCTTTATTTTGAGAAGGATCATGTTGGTACTTGTTCTATAGGAATACATGGAATATATCATGGTTGCAATTGTATAGGCTATCAATCCAAGTCTGTCAAGAATCTTGAAGGGGTTAATGAAGGGAGGAGTCGACTTCTTTGCTATAATGGATCTTATTATCATCAGAGTGACTCTAAGAACATGATCACCCACTTCGAATTCTAATTGTCATGAGTAACTTTTGTGTCATGAGCAACTTTTGCTTGAGTGAGTATCTTGATATTTTGAATAGCTTGGTCGACCAAATTTTTTTAAAATAAAAATGCTTCAAGGTGTCCCATGGCTATATGTGTTTACACATAGGTGTCCCATGTAAAATATATTACTTCTTGAAAAGATTTACTTTTTGAGGGATGAATGGTAGGACCCAAACAATCAACAATCCAACTCCACCCTAAGCCAAAGATTTCCATGATGCTTAACCTTAACGAGAAAGTATCGAGGCAAGAAATATGGTCATTAGCAACCATGGCCTTGAAGACTATATCAATAGGACCACATGGAGAGCCAAAGTTTTGGGCATTTCATGGGGGAACCACATAATAGGACATAGTGTAGAAGTATAAGCACATACTTGCTAGAGCAATAGGTTATTTGCAACAGGTCATTTACTTTTGGATAGAAATTAACCTTTAACCACATATTGCTAAAGAATGGATTGATAATTTGGAAACCACTTTTAGCAAGGTTTTTTTTTTTGTAGAAGAAAAGTGGTAAGAAACAATGGGAAGGCAAGAGAGTGATATTTCCCCATGCATTGAAGGCTGAGAAGAAGGAAGGTTTCATGACTTTAGGAGCCTGCAAAATACTCCACTTATCTTCATAAAGATAATTATAGAATTATGGGATAACTCCATTTGAGATTAAGTCTTTTGAGGAAATGTCTGTCAAGATATGCATGGCTGCGGAGAAAGAAGAACAATGGGAATGACAAGGGGACCCAAGGGAAATTAACAGTTATTTCCTAAGATGCTATAGAAAGAGAGGAAGGACCAAGTTTAAAGGAGCTGGTTTTATAGGAGTCAAGGGATCTTATAGACTCTTGCTATACCAAGTTGATTATGAAAAAAAATTGATTAACAAAATGTGGTTATGTTAGGATAAGATTTTCTAAAATTAATTTTGCTGAGTGTGGAAGATTTCATTCTTGTAGATGTTGGTATGCTACAAGTGTCCTGGACACATTGCTTGATTATGCGATGAGGTTAAACTAAATAATTATAACACTTAGTGTGAGAGGTGGTTTCCCCTACTTTCCTAGACACACAGCTTACTAGGTAATTTCCCCTGCTTTGCTTCGAACACCCTTACTACCCTAATAAGGGCTTTGATCAATTTATGTGCCTCATGTTTTCTTTATATTGTTTTGCAAGTCATGGGCTCACTATGTTTTCTTGATCAATCTCTATCTTCTTTATCTTGTTTTGTATACTAAATCACTTTACTAGCTGGTATGATTTAGTTCTTCCTATTAGGGCTAAGCCATACTCCTTTTTCCCTACCAATGTAAGAGGTTTATTAGGGCTAAGTTGGTTACCCTTTCCCTTTAACTCAGCCAAGCAAGTGTTAATTTGGTCATTTAGTAGTGGAATCTCAACCCTTGGGTGGATTGTTAAGAACAATTTTTAGGTTTAATAGGTGGATCACCTTTGCCCCTATTTTACAAACTCTTGGAGCAGGTTGGGTTAATTAGACTTAATTGACCTTAGTTGCATTCTTTTTAAGGGTGGCTTTATGACTTCTAAAGACCCTAAAAGTTTAAAGACCCTGAAAGTCTACCCAAGAGTGAGATGAATTGAGCTTTATAAAAATTTAACTGATAAATGCAATAATTGAAAAAATTGAGCTTTATGAAGGTGTGGAAGATAAGCTTGCATGGATTGTTTATTTTGGTTCAAGTCCAACCACTTAAGCCAATCCTCAAGTTGAGATTTTCCCTAATAACTTCATTAAGATTAATCCAGACTCTTGGTTGCCTCAGTACAAATCTCAGAATTAAATTTAAGTTTATATTACTCTCTTTTACAAAGGTAATGATAATCTCCCTTAAATTCCCCCAACCTTAAAATCCCCTATTCCAAGTGTGAAAAACAAGGAGAAACAAAGTAAGTTCAAAAATAAACTACTTCTATCTAATACTCTTTAGAAGAATTTATTTACAATCAATGAAACTCATTTGTAATGAATATAAACTTAGAAAGCTGGTGAAATAATAAAGAGAGAATGACAAGGAAGTTTTAATTTTGCAACTCAATCTTTCAATTTTGCAATTGCGTTGTGATAAATTTACAACTTATATTCCAAAGTTTAATAGGAAAAATAAATTTTTTTATTCTTCAACCATGTTAAAATTTTAAAAACAAATTACAAATTCATCACAATGTAATTACAAAATCGAGAGATTAAATTGCAAATTTTTGAAGTTTAGTACTTGGGACCTAACTTAAATTAATTGGTCCTTTTTAGACAGCTTTGTTATTCTCCCAATAATAAATGAGATAGCAAGCATTGTTTGTTTGTGTGCTTTTTTATTCACCATCTTCATAAATACTTATATTTATAACTCAACTTCATAAAAGATCTATTAAACTTATGAATATAGCCATTAGAATCACCGTCTTCTCTCTTTTTACCTTTCTCCAAAAAGAGGCAATGGCATAGTTCTTTACAATAAAGTTTCTCCTTCATGGTAAGTAAGGAAAGTAATGATCCTTTACCATAGATGTTCTAACAAAGGTAAGAGATTATTTCGATAATCTAATCCTCAAGTTGAGATTTTCTCTAATAATTTCATCAAGATTAATTTAGGCTCTTAGTTGCCTCAATACAATCATAGATTTAAATTTAAGTCTACATTTCTCTCCCTTATAAAAGTAATGATAAATCTCCTTTAAGTTCCCCCAAGCTTAAGATCCCTCATTCCAA